CGTCGTTTATGTCCGCTCGTATTATCGGCCAGACGATGCGGCTGAAGGATTGATTCAACTGTCTCGCCAACAATCGTCACAATTGCATCTACAAACACCAACACGTGCACCACCATCACCAGTATTGCTACCACCGTCACCACGATCATTACCGCTTCCCCAAGGATTTGATGCTGCACCGATACAATCACCGAGAACGCCGAATACCGCTCGACGACCACCAACACCACGATTTCCACGTTTATCACAATCCATCGCTCGTTTGGAAGGACTGAGACGTGAGCGAGACTTGCAGCGGCGTGAACGAGAGCTGGAGCAAGAGCAAGAGCGTCAGCGGCAGCTTCAACAGGAGCGGGAGCGTGAAATTGCCCGTGGTCGCCCCCTTTGTGCCATTTGCAAGGAAGACTTATTGTCAAGATCACCAATGATTCTTCCTTGCAATCACGTCTACTGCACCGACTGTATCCAAGAGATGCTCGAGCACCAACCATCGTGTCCCGTTTGTCGTACAGGTGTTCCATCAGTCGAGTGGTGCGACCCAATCTATTTCCCATAATTCAATATTTTTTAAATAATACAATTCTCATTCAATACAATTCAATTCACTCTCAATCAATACAACTCTTTTAAATAAATAAAAAAACAATAAAATGAAAAAAAAACGTCTTTCATTTCAAACTTCTTATTTTCAGGTCTCTTTTTTGTTTTTAGGTTCTCTTTCTGGCTTTCTTCTTTGCTTCTTATTTTCTGGTTGTTCTTTGCTTCTTTGCTTTTTTGTTTTCATGTTCTTCTTTGCTTTCTTCTTTGTTTCTTATTTTCAGGTCTCTTTCTTTTTTCCTCTTTGCTTGACCTTCCCTTTTGTCTTCGTCTTCTTTTATTACACAGCATGCATGCTGCGTGCATGCTGTTACTATTGTTGGAATGATAAAACGCGAAAAACGCGAAAACGCGAAAAACGCGAGGTAATTAGCGTTTTCGCGTTTTTTCGCGTTTTTCGCGTTTTTGAACCCTCTTTTTTATACTACT